TAAAATTCATTGGATTATCAGATCAGACTTTTAAAGTTGAATTTAGATTCGGCTAAGTCAAAATCTGATTCAAACCCGTTTTATTGACAAACCCAATTCCATGTTACCCATTTGAGTCCCAACCAATTATCCTCAGTTCTAAATGAACAGTAGAAATAAAATCAATTAGGTACAATTCAAACTAAAATCATATACCTCGATAGGCGCTCTCCTCCAATGTTTTCTTTGGGAATGCCCAAGACTTCAACATTAGACATGGGTGTGAGATTTGATTGTGGAGTCGGGATCTATCATCACTCTCTTCACGACCACTCCATTCTACCCTATAGCTTGTGACAAGGACTAATTTGGGTTTCGAGCATCAAGTTTAGCATACTATGTCCATGTTTTGATGCATTTTATCCCATCCCCAAAAATTCAGAATAGATAAACAAAAACAAAGGATTGGTTTAAATGTGGGCTTCCACCAATTGAATGAGGTACTAATATTTCCCTTCCCATGTTGTTTTTAACCCTCAACCATGGTCCATTGCATGGTATTTTCAGTTCCACCTGTAACCCATAATACAGCAGACTTTTGGAACCCAGCTGGGGTGTCAGGTATCAAAAATCATAATAAGCTCCCGTAGGGAGTAAAGGTTACAAAATCTCATTATCATTATTATTATTATTATTTGTCACGTGATGTTTAAATTTGTTTCGAGTACTCTCTCAAACTCAACAGCTATCACTTAGCTTAAGCTGGATTAGAGCATTTCCGTGGGGAACAAGGATGGTTGACCCTTAGGGAGTGTGAAAAATAATTGAATCTGAGACCTCTGAATTATCAAAAACTAATTTCAACCACTGAACCATCTTTAAAACTTCATCATGTCATTTTTTTTCACGTCGTAACTCAATGATTAAAAAGTAGATAAAGTAAATAGTTTCCAAGAGAAGAACCAAGTCCTCCATGGACATATAAACAGTGTTTATAAAAGCACCAATCACACTAGGGGCAAGAAAACTAGTGGTGCCATTCCTACTTTCACTGTCCTGTTAATGTATGTGCCCATTTTCTTCTAGGGTTTCTTGTCACTCTTGCAGCTTGCTTCATTCCAAAGTTTGGCAATCATTTGTGCTAAAAAAAAGCAACAGCTAACCAAACCATCCAAGCAATTAATAATGGAAGGATGACCTGTGAAGCCTTATTAGTCGCACTTCTCTTCATCTCTACTTGTTTCTTCGATCTTACCAAACACAAAACCGAAAAAATATATATTCATTCATGGACTACGATGTAATGTCCACCAATAACTAGAGGATAAGCGGGGAAAAAAAAAATCCGAGCATATTTATATCCTATCTAAATTAATTAAGCTATTAACAAAATTGATTAAAGCTAGTATATATCATAAAAGGATAGAAATTGTTTATAAAAAGTGCACAAAAACACATCCACTTGATGAGAATAACTCTATTCAAATGTAGTGGTGAGGATCTATATTGTTTTTTTGTGGTGGATGAACAAGAATTATATTCCAAGGTTTTGCAAAGTAATATAGTGCCATAGTGATGGGGCCCCACATATCAGCATATGGCAAAAGAAATCAAGAAAGGGAGGGAGAAAATGTTGACTATGGATTTGTTCATTTCACGTGGGAATCTCTACTGTGCCCAAAAAAAAATTTCGACGTTACCGTTGATTATCACTTTTTTTATAGTAAAGTTATAACTTTGAAATGGAACGTAATAACTGTTTAAGGGAAAGTTGTGATCAATCATGAACTCTCGGTCTCAATCACAACCTTCTATAATTGATCATGTCTCTTAAAGTTATAACTTACACCTTAAAAAAATTATAATTAGTCATACCTTAGCCTTTCCCTTTCACACATGACCTTCAATTTATCACTTAGAAACAATCAAAACCTTAAAAAAGACTGGCTTTATGAAAGCAGTCTAATATTAGCAGCCGGGTTACTAATCATGTGAACATTTTAAACGTGTGCTAACAAATAAGAAAAAAGGATCCAGAAGGCTGTAGAAACTGACAAGAGCAATGTTTTATGGATCTAATTTGATGATCTATCTTGGGACTTAATGATAGCATTTTCCAATCAACAAACAATCCATAATATTTTTCTAATTTAGTATTCAAAATCTAATTATCAATTTATCATATATGCACCTGCTACTCAAATGACTTTTGGACTCGACCCGTTTTTTAAACGAGTTAAATTTGAACAACTTTTTAGGTTTGTTTAAAAAATAAGCCTAAAAAACTCAACTTGTTTATATGTAAAATAATTAAGTTACTCATGTTTGACTCGTTTAAATGAACCGAACTTGAATAATTTTTTTAATTCGTTTAAAAATGAGCTCGACAAACTCAATTATCAACCCTAACGTCAAATTTTTTACTAACATCAGATTATGAATTATGGATCAGATAGCCCAGCTTGCCATGCATGATAGATTCTCCTTCCTCCATCGTGATGATGACCAACTATTTCGCGACATTTAAGGTATTTTTTGATATCGTAACCTCTCTTTTTTTTTCTAATGAAAACATGACATGTATAAGTTTTCCTATTTTATTTTATTTTTTCATGAGAAGTCATAAATAAAGCAAAACAAATGTTAGGTTGAAAATCATTTGTCTATATGATACCAAAGCCCTGACCCTATAAAACAAAGCAGTTACCAAATCTTCCTAATAGTACATGCCCAGATTCAGTGCATAAAGCAAGCACTCTCATCTACTTGACTCACTGCCACTTCATCTAGGTACCAAGAAATATAGAAAAAGCCTTTAATTCTCTCTCATTTCAACAAGTATACCTACTAAAGTTTTGGATCTTGCTCTAACAATGAGTTCCTGTGGTCGATTTCTCCATTTTTCTCCTAGTTTCAGACATTTAGAACTCAAAAATGGTAAGTTCGAGTGACCCAGTAGACAAGTAGGTATGCCCGAGTTATATAATAAAACTACTAATCAGTTTTCTCATCTCTAAGCCTGCTAATTTCTAAGAAATTCTGCACTTTCGTACTTTCAGTCAAGTAAAGCAACACAATTGATGTTGTCAAGTTAACCAAACGATAGTCACATAATAGGCCGATGGAAGACTTATTCTGGACTAATTATAAACTATAATCCTGATGCTACTTAGATATGGAAAATTTAGAGTTACAAATCTCGTCTCTTGAAGTTTTAATCGTCTGGTTAATACACATGAAAGAAGATTGAAGGCTTGTAACATCACTACAATTCTCAATGGCTGTGCAGTACATCAGCTCTTTGTAATAGTCTTGACTATTTAAGCATGAAAAAATCATGGAAAAAAGTGATGGCCTAGTTCATGATGCTCCCTCTATTGCAAGGTCTGAAAATGGTCAAACGTAAACTTATTCCCGAATAGAAAGGCACTGGATCCTCAATCCCCATTAGAAAACTGATGGAAAGGACAAAGTAGGAAATTCCTTTGATAAGATATATAGGACAGATATTTTGGAGGTGTAGGATGAGATGTGCATTGCATGTCAGAGTGACAAGGTAGAGCATCATTTATAGGCGAACAGGCCATTGTCCCGTGTCTAGTTGAGTGTGCGAGTGGGATAGTTGTGGATGAAGATTTAAGAGAACTCAGAAAGTTGTTCTATATGCATCAGTAAAATTGTGAAACAAAGCATGNGGATCAGATAGCCCAGCTTGCCATGCATGATAGATTCTCCTTCCTCCATCGTGATGATGACCAACTATTTCGCGACATTTAAGGTATTTTTTGATATCGTAACCTCTCTTTTTTTTTCTAATGAAAACATGACATGTATAAGTTTTCCTATTTTATTTTATTTTTTCATGAGAAGTCATAAATAAAGCAAAACAAATGTTAGGTTGAAAATCATTTGTCTATATGATACCAAAGCCCTGACCCTATAAAACAAAGCAGTTACCAAATCTTCCTAATAGTACATGCCCAGATTCAGTGCATAAAGCAAGCACTCTCATCTACTTGACTCACTGCCACTTCATCTAGGTACCAAGAAATATAGAAAAAGCCTTTAATTCTCTCTCATTTCAACAAGTATACCTACTAAAGTTTTGGATCTTGCTCTAACAATGAGTTCCTGTGGTCGATTTCTCCATTTTTCTCCTAGTTTCAGACATTTAGAACTCAAAAATGGTAAGTTCGAGTGACCCAGTAGACAAGTAGGTATGCCCGAGTTATATAATAAAACTACTAATCAGTTTTCTCATCTCTAAGCCTGCTAATTTCTAAGAAATTCTGCACTTTCGTACTTTCAGTCAAGTAAAGCAACACAATTGATGTTGTCAAGTTAACCAAACGATAGTCACATAATAGGCCGATGGAAGACTTATTCTGGACTAATTATAAACTATAATCCTGATGCTACTTAGATATGGAAAATTTAGAGTTACAAATCTCGTCTCTTGAAGTTTTAATCGTCTGGTTAATACACATGAAAGAAGATTGAAGGCTTGTAACATCACTACAATTCTCAATGGCTGTGCAGTACATCAGCTCTTTGTAATAGTCTTGACTATTTAAGCATGAAAAAATCATGGAAAAAAGTGATGGCCTAGTTCATGATGCTCCCTCTATTGCAAGGTCTGAAAATGGTCAAACGTAAACTTATTCCCGAATAGAAAGGCACTGGATCCTCAATCCCCATTAGAAAACTGATGGAAAGGACAAAGTAGGAAATTCCTTTGATAAGATATATAGGACAGATATTTTGGAGGTGTAGGATGAGATGTGCATTGCATGTCAGAGTGACAAGGTAGAGCATCATTTATAGGCGAACAGGCCATTGTCCCGTGTCTAGTTGAGTGTGCGAGTGGGATAGTTGTGGATGAAGATTTAAGAGAACTCAGAAAGTTGTTCTATATGCATCAGTAAAATTGTGAAACAAAGCATGCCTATAGCGTAGCATGTGTAAGCTAAAAGTTCAACATTCAAGTATAAAAAAAAAACATAAAAAGAGAACATCATTTTGTCATTTGGCCCAAGAAAAGTGGGCATATTCATACACACTCAATAATCATACTAGTATTGTCAAATATAATGTACAGGACTTCGTTTGCGAGAGAAAAAAAAAAAGAAGAAGAACTTATAACATAAAACAGCACAACTATATACACATTTAACAGCCTTCCATGTGGAGATAAAGCACATAAGGAAGGTATTAGAAGAAAATACTTCTAACATCATGCATCTACAGCACAAACTGCTGGGGAATTATTTCTCATGATTATTAGAACAGGATGAAAAAGTAAAAATAAATAAAAAGAAAAACTAGTGGCATGGGCACAACCACCTTCAAAGGCCTTTATGCAACACCCAAGGAGTGAAGGTTATTAGTTTACCTCCGAACTCAAAGTAGCAGCTTCAGGATGGTAATGAAGTATTTCCTTCCACATCATCTCCCTTATCATCTCCTCCCCTAAATCCTCATCTATGTCAAGATCGATTGGCACCTGTGCCAGAGGATCACAGCTTGGATCATACAGGGGAGCCATGTAAGGGTGTTGGAGTGCTTCACTAACACTAATCCTCTTCGATGGGTCAAAGACAAGCATCTTCTGTAACAAATCAATTGCCAAAGGATTGGCCAGGGGATAAAGACGGGAAAAGGGGAGGCCAGGGGAAAATGGAAGTGATTTAATGTACTTCCTCGCCTTTGAGTTATCAATGAACTCAAGATCATCTTCCCTCTGGCTGCCAACGATGTTGATAATCAGTTTAAGCTGGTTGAGACTCTCTGAACCAGGGAAGATGGGTTTGCGGCCAAGAAGTTCAGCAAATATGCAACCAACAGACCACACATCGATAGAAGTCCCATAGTTGTCACAGCAAAGGAGAACCTCCGGGGCACGATACCAGCGAGTAACCACATACTCCGTCATGAACTGATCCTTACCATTACTTGTGCGTGCAAGCCCAAAGTCACATATTTTCAGGTCACAGTTTGCATTGATAAGTAGGTTCCCTGGCTTCAAGTCACGATGAAGAATGTTTGCAGAGTGGAGATACTTCAGGCCACGAAGCAACTGCATTGACAAAATTAACTCCGAATAATTAAAAGACTAAGAATGCTGTTCTGTCTGGAAAAATTGAAGATGATCACAAACATCCAAAATACAACAAACACACAAATTGTGCTCAATTGAATCCGCACATCAATAAGATATCCAAGGATGGCAGGGGCTCAAGGAGGTGCATAAAGCTTCAAGCAGAAATTAGGGGAGTACAAAATCCCAGTAACAGTTTTGCAAGCAATTGTATCAGTATAGAAATGACATCAAAATTTTAGTGGTAAAAATTTGAAAAACATGCTTGTGGTGCAACATAGCACACAATGCATGCTCGTATGTATCCAGAATGTCCAAATAAGTTTCAATACCCAAGTTCTGTATCTTAAATCTTATGTATTTTCAGATGTTACATATGCTATGCTATCCACAAGATGAAATCGGAAATGCATTTGTTCCTATTGCATCATTGCATCACCAGCATCATATTTATGTGACAAAGAGTATAAGATTGCATAAGCCACTTCTAATAGGTATTAAGAGAAAAATGAATGTAACAACACAAAACAGGTAGAGTTAATGATCACATGAACATGTAGTTTTTGCCCAAGCCTATCACATAAAGGTATGGTTACTCACATGACAATACATAACTTAGTTCACAATACTCCATCGCTTCAAGATGTTTGGAAATTCAATCACCAAACCATCCATAAATAACATCATTATCTTTACTTGAACAACATACCTGGAAGAGAAAATATTGGCAGTGGTCATTCGTAAGTGCTTGGGAGGACTTGATAATCTGATGCAAGTCTGTGTCCATAAGTTCATAAACCATATAGACATCCTTGAAAGTTCTCCTATGGATAGGCATCATGGCATCTTTCAAAGCAATCACATTGTCATGTCTAAGATGACGGAGAAGTTTCAGTTCACGCAAAGTTCTCAGAGCATCAATACGATTTTCAAATGCATTGTGTATCTTCTTAATTGCAACCCTCTCATTGGTTTCCTTGTTAATGGACGAGCAAACAATACCATATGCCCCTCGACCAATAGGTTTGATGGGCACATATTTAGTATCTATCTCAAACAAGGTTTGCCACATGGAATAGTAATGCTTGCCTTGGGATTTAATCCCATTTGGAGGTTCAACTGGTGTTGCCATTTCCCTATACATCATTATAAACAGAGTCATATTAGAAGAGTATGTACCAAAAAATACAATGCATAATAAGACAATCATTTGCGAGATTTCGCAGAAACAGACTATATTTTGTTGTATTATTTCAATCAGTTATACAAGCAAATCCTGCATATTAAATGCAAACATGGGACCATTAACCACCACCATCTCAGTTAGTAAACGATCAGTTTTAGAATTGCATGTCATGCCTTAATTTCCAAATTTCAGGTCTACTTCATTGAGACTTCAGATGGCTCCCACACTTTGAGACCCTATTTATGACATCTGATTTACTAGCAAGGTCTATCTGATTTACAGCACAATAAGGTGATTTGCTATTTATTAGGCGTCCAAATGTGCCCTATTGTATGCATAATTGCTCTTCTAATTGGGGTGTCAGATAAGAGGGACGACATGCCAATAAGATTTCAATGAGTTCTAGCTTAATACAAGATACGGCTTCACACAGAGCACAATTTTCACTAAGATCATATCTAAATTTTTGCTCGGAAAATGAAGAATTTATTATCACCTACCGAAATGAATTGTACCACAAAAACTAGAAAATAATAACAGCGAAAAGACAGAAACCAATCACGGCCCCTTGTACTTTCTTAAATACTCTCTAATTCTTTGCTTAAACAAACGCAAATCCATGGAAAATCATTGTTCTTAATTCCATGGCTGCCCAAAACAACTAGTATTTTTTACCTAATGAAATTATTCCTGTACGCAGTGTAACATTAAAATCCACGCATACAAAAGAATCATAGGAAACCATAATACAAGGAAAATTATAAGGGAAGGAATGGTGTACTTGAAACCATTATTCAAAACACAAAACACAGAAAAATTCAAAATATACATTAAACGTAGTGCCCATCAAGGAAAATTCAGAGCATAAACAAAAGCCCCGAGAGAGATTAAAGAACAGAAAATCGAAAATAATAAGGAACAATCATTCATAAAGCAAGAGAGTTGTAAAAAAGACTGTACGTAGTCACAATTATTCATTTAATGGGGGAAAAAAAGAGAGTAAAAGTTTGAAAAGGACATACTTTCAAGTTGTGATCTTTCCTACTTTCCTTTCACCTTGACTCTCTTCACTGAAAGATGGGAAACTCTTCCTTTGTCTCTTTGTTTAACAACAAGGTCATTCTATCAAATACGAAACTTCTGATACAACATGCTATCCACTGACTGTTTATTAACTCTAATTCTGGTTCAATCAGTCCGTAATTCTCTCAAACCAGAGCAACAATTTTCCAAATTTGCACAACCAAAACCGTTCTTTTTTCCCAATTCTACCGGTCAATTCTTCGTGAAAGCCCCCATCGGACCTCTGCAACTTCACTTCCTCTTCAAAAACCGTAGTTCTCTGAAGTGGAGTGAAGTGAAAACTCTTCCAATTTTCCAAAACCCTCGTTGACACTTCGACTTGTCGGTGTTTCCGTGTGATCTCTACACGTTTGATTTTTTTCCGTGGCGGTGTAGTTTTCGATGTTGAGGATAATGTGTTGTCAACTAATGGATCTTTGGATCTCTCGCTTCGGTCACAGAATAACCGAAGATTCGCTAGATTCGTTCTAGACCAATCAAACCGGTCCGAGACCCGATGCAACAACCTGATGTGGCCCATTTGTGTTATGGATCTCACTTGAATTTAATTATAAATAGAAATATTTTCTGACAATTTAATCGAAAATTACAATGACTGTATAAAGATTAGGAGTGCAATTTGGATGAGTTAATCTAATTTTAATCCGAGTCTAATCAAAAAAATTAGGACTTAGATTAGGATTTTTAATATTTGGGTTAAATTTGAGTCAAAAAATATCAACCCAAATTAAATTTAGTGCAGGCCAAGGGTTAAGCCACCGGGTTCACGGGTTGAACCCGAATATTAAAATTGGGCTCAACCCGATTTAATAATCTTGTTCAATCCGAATTAATACTATTTAAATACAATTTTATCCTTGGGTTAATCTCAGCTCAAGTGTGTGCCTCCCTCAAGACCCTCACTCACTCTCAATCTCTCATAAATATTCTGGTTGTGCAAGGATTTTTGTTTAAGTAGGGAATTTTGAGCAGTGAATTCTATATTTGTGCAAAGATTTTGGTTGTTTTTATTTGTGTTATGTATAATTATAGTTGTATTATCTCAAACATTGAGTTCTTAATATTATGATTTTTATGTTAAGAACTTGATTAAAATAACCCAAAATTAACCCATAAAATAACCCAAAAATCATTAACCCGAATTCAACCCGAACCCGCCCGAATTAAACTTCCAGCAATGCTCGAGTTGAGTTTCTCAACCCGAGATAGGGTTAAGATTAGAATTAGGATTGAAAATTATATACTTAGCGTTGGATTAGGGTTAACTGTCCAACTCGTCCAAGTTGCACCCCTAATAAAGAAAGATAAGCACATACACTCTCTAGGGGATATACAACTATTATATACTTCTTCTTCCTCTGAGAAGCAAAAATTTCTATTACAATGGGTTAACTCAATTTTTTTTAAGCTGGGCAAACCACTTTTATCTTTGTATTTATTTGTTCATTTTTTCTCGTTATACTCAAACACACTTCACACACAAACTCATCCAATTCACCCCCACCTTAAGCCTCTCGATTTTTTAAACCATCGATCCTCTTATTAATGATGTGTTAATTGGCATAGTCCACTAATATTGTTGTAGTTGTAAATATTGAATTTTTCTAGTTTGCCATTTTAATTGACATTGCATTATGTTGGGTATTTAAGCTATATATATTATTAGGTCCTAATACTATTATTCTTCTCCAAACTGTTAAGCCAAATTGGAAGGGAAAAATATATGGTTCCAACTCAAGTCCATATCTCTTTTTTTTGGTTCAACGATTTGGAATGTCCGAACTAACTTCCACGAACTCGGTTCCATATCTCTGAAATCAAACCTATAATAGTCTAGATATTTGCCTATCTATGTCAGAGGAAATGGGATGTATAGAGATTTGTATTTCAATATTTTTTTTAAAAAAGTGGTATATATGTATCAAGATATATAAATAACATACATACCCTAGTATACGTGTGATTAAATTTTGGATGAAAAAAATAAACACCAATTAATAAAAAAAAAAAAATACAAAACAACTATTACTCACAAAAAAATACATAAAATAACAGGTAAAAATATATTTGTTACTTTATATTCATGATGAGTGGTGGTTTATAGACTAGATTTCCACCTCTATCAATATGATGCTAGCCACTGTCTTTTAGTTAATTAAGTTGCTAATTAATTATTAGTTGACTTTGATTACGGATTGCCAGGTGTTAGTACGGCAATACCTTAATCCAAAACCCATTTGGAAGATAAAGTATTAGAAGATTTTTCTAAGTTTGTGTTGTTCATCTTGACATGGTTATTGGTTTAGGATCTATTTATGATTTGTGACAACGACATGCACATTTTTTATAAGTTTCTTTCTTTATAGACAACGGGTTCTAAGTTTTCAAACATAATTACATGCATTGATGGTGTAAATCCTCTTATAAAACTATACAAGATTGATTTGAGAGAGTTTTTAGGGTTTAGGGTTTTAAGCGCAAATGAAATGTATGAATAAAAATTGGTTAGATGACCAACGAATTATCATTGGAGTATCACCGTTGGAACGAGTCTCTCTACTTTTATGCATGGAAATTGGCTAAAACCATTAATTGATCTTCAATCACTAAAACAAAAATATAAACAAGGGAGAATTGCACTTTGTATTTTGAAAGATGTAAAATTTTTTACTTTATATTATTAAAATTAAATTTCTCATATTGTATCTTCAATATATTAAAAGTGTTGTAATGAGGCCTTTTTGTTATTCATTTTCTCAATATCAATGTGGTGAATTTTGACGAAATAAGTAATGTAAGATATCGAAAGAGTCACATTGCACCACTTTTAATACATTGAATGTGTAATATAAAAAAAATTATCTTTAAAGGTACAAAATGAAAAAAACTTAAATTTTTTGGGGTGTAAAGTGAGATTCCCCTTTTAAACAATGAAGTAACAAATGAAGTACAAACATATACAAGCTCACCAATGTTTGTGTTGAAACAATCCTCCAATGACAAGGAGAAAAACTACATGACAAACTTTGAACCAATCTACGGACTCAAATCAAGAAACTCTTGTTCAAATATTTTTAAAATCGATTACATGAACCCTATTTCGTCACTGTGATCTATTAAGAACCATAATTTCTCTAATTTATAATTGACAGAATTTTAGGCGACTCAGCAGCCCTTAGACCAACACGAATATGGAAGTAGTTATTATGAAGCTCAAAAGATATCGCGGGGGGGGGGGGGGGGGGGGGGG